CTTTCTTTTCACCTTTCTCTCTTCTGTATTCTTACAGACACCGATAATGGCGGATCCTGATTTGGAGTCTCCGTTGATCCATCATAAAAAATCCGATCAACCACCGGAGGTTGTTATCTCAATCGATGACGACGGAGACGACGACTCAGGACTCGTTGAAAAACCCCAAGACCACCCTCGTGTTTCACGTGGTTTTGAATTTGACCATCGTAATCAAACCAATCCTTTCGGGTTTCTCAGCGAAACCGAGCCTCCGGTTCTGGGTCCGACGACGGTGGATCCATTTCGGAACGATACACCTGGAGTTAGCGGATTGTACGAAGCGATTAAGATCGTGATTTGTCTCCCGATTGCTTTGGTTAGACTGATTCTGTTTGGTGCTAGTTTAGCTGTTGGTTACTTGGCTACTAAATTGGCTCTTGCTGGTTGGAAAGATAAACATAACCCTATGCCTCAATGGAGATGCAGAATCATGTGGATTACTCGGATCTGTACCAGATGCATCCTCTTCTCCTTTGGGTATGTTCTGATTGAGAGAACTTAGTGATTGCTAATTTGTGTTAGTTTCTAGTCGTGGAATTGAGGAAGTTAGTGTTTGCTGGTTATTCATTGAGGAATGTTTCAAAGGTATAGACTTTACCAATAAAATGTTCATAATCTTCCTTTGGTTCTGTAGTTATCAGTGGATAAGAAGGAAAGGGAAACCTGCTCGTAGGGAGATTGCTCCGATTGTTGTATCGAACCATGTATCTTATATCGAACCAATCTTCTACTTTTATGAATTATCACCGACCATTGTTGCATCGGAGTCACATGATTCACTTCCTTTTGTTGGGACCATTATCAGAGCAATGCAGGTAGGCACCTAGTCCATTTATATCGGTTTTAGATGCTGTTGTGTAGTTTATTTAAAGATTCAGTTTTTTCAACTTTCTAGGTGATATATGTAAATAGATTCTCACAGACGTCAAGGAAGAACGCCGTGCATGAAATAAAGGTATAGAGTTTCTGTGGCATGTTATCGATGTCTATAGTACTTTTGAAATTGAGAAACTTGAGCAAAGAGATTTGGTTCATACACTGTTTTCATGTTTATTGTACTTCTTGTGGGTGAAAAGGATTCAAATGGTTTTTTGTATCTGATACGGAATGTACTTTCAAGGATGTAAAATACAGAGAAAAGCTTCCTGCGATAAATTTCCCCGTCTGCTGTTATTCCCGGAAGGAACCACGACTAATGGGAAAGTTCTTATTTCCTTCCAACTTGGTGCTTTCATCCCTGGTTACCCGATTCAACCTGTTGTAGTTCGGTATCCCCATGTACATTTTGATCAATCCTGGTGAGACTCGTTCATGTCTTTATTTCGTTTTACGCGCTTTATACCTCTCCCAAGTACTGATATTTTTGAGTTTTTCAGGGGAAATATTTCTTTGTTGATGCTCATGTTTAGAATGTTCACCCAGTTTCACAACTTCATGGAGGTAGGCAATGTGCAGATTGTGTAGGCTTTAGGTTATTGATATCTAGTTTTTCTCTTGTGTCTTAGAATTTCACTTATTTGGATAATTTTTTCCCCGAAATTAAACAGGTCGAATACCTTCCAGTAATCCATCCCAATGACAATCAAAAACAGAATGCTGTACGGCTCTCGCAGAAGGTGTGTGTTTGATTGAGATGGAGATAGTTTTTCTGCATTTGTTACTTTTTTTTTTATGGTGAGAAATAGTCCTCATGGTATACTTATGAATACAGACTAGTCATGCAATTGCAACATCTTTGAATGTCGTCCAAACAGCTCATTCTTATGGGGACTTGATGCTACTTAACCACGCATCTGAGTTAAAGCTGGTATGTGCAGCTCATGAATGCTTCTGCTCTCTTGAATAGCTTCATATGTTCTTTCTTATCGATATCTTGTTCTTCTCTGTGCCACAATTCATGTATTCTTGTCCATGGAAGTTTGAAAATAACTTCCCATGTCAGAAAGCAGTTCATCTGGTTTGAGTATTTATTTCATCTCAAATGTTTTGCTGCAGGAGAACCCMTCAAATTACATGGTTGAAATGGCGAAGGTTGAGTCGGTAAGTTTATCATCTAGGGCCTCAATTTGATGCTTTTCATTTACATTGAAGAAACACGTATCTTTGATTGTGGTATTTCGGGTACACAAAACTCTGGATAACTATGCTGAATCTCATTTTGTTTTTATAATGTCCTCCATTCAGAAAAAAAAAAAAATTCCATTATATGTGCCTGTTTTTGTCTCCCTAGTGATTGTGTTGCTCTGTCTTTGTTCCTTCCAGCTATTCCATGTAAGCAGCGTAGAGGCAGTGCGGTTTTTGGATACATTTTTTTCCATGAATCCGGACTCGAGGTAATGACTTTTATAAGTAACTAGAAAAATTATATTACCTCTTTTGGCGTTCCAGTTCTCGAAAGATCAGATTTCCCTGCAATCTTAAGAATTTTACACTTTTTGCAGTGGACGTGTTACGCTACATGACTTTCTTCGGGTTCTTAGACTGAAGCCTTGCACTCTTTCTAAAGGGGTCAGTTTCGATAATAAATTATTTTCTACCTTCTTTGTGTATAAATATGTTTATGCTCTTATTATCCTTCACGGTCGTTTATGCCTTGGAATAGTTACTTATACAAACATACTGTTGTAGATATTCGGGTTCATCGATGTTGAGAAGGCCGGATCAATCACTTTCAGACAGGTAATTTCAGGGAACCCCCTGCAACATAACATTTTATACGATTCAATCCTCCTCATAGAGAATAACACACTTTGTAGAAATTCTTAGTATATAATATCCCTAATATCTCTTTCCTTCTGCTGATTGGTCTACAGTTCTTGTTCGCCTCGGCTCATGTATTGACACAGCCGCTTTTTCAGCAAACATGTGAACTATCCTTTTCCCATTGTGACGCAGATGAAGATGGCTATATCTCCATTCAAGAAGTACATCTAGTTCTTCACCTCATTCTCATATTTTGCTTTGGAGTTCTTATGACTTACTCTTGCCTTATCTTTGGCTCAGCTTGGAAACGCTCTCAAACACACAATCCCAAATTTGAACAAGGACGAGGCAAGTGTAAAGTAGATTCATCAATCTCTTTTATTTTGGAAAGATCTATAGCCTAAACGGTTTGGTTGGGTTTTTTCTCATGTATCAGATTCAAGGGTTGTACATTTTGCTCGACGACGACAAAGATCAAAGAATCAGCAAGACCGACTTCTTGTCCTGCTTGAGAAGAAACCCTCTTCTCATACCGATCTTCGCGCCTAACTTTGCTCCAACATAACACAGACGGACAAAAAGCGGGCCAAGATTTGCGATCGGTGCGATGATATAAACTTGTCACATTGTGGTATAATCATATACCTTTGTTTTGTCTTCATATTTGTTTTCAGATAGTAAAAAAGAGTGTCAAGAGATGGGGCTGATAAGTTTTTGGCCTATTCCCCTACTCCTCCATGGTTCCATACAGTGAGTTTTGGACTATAACTACATGCCGTTTTCTACCCCAAAAAACGCTATGATGTTTGCTCCTCTAGTTCCGAGCAAACATTACTGTATTTTTTTTGTTGTTGTCATTTTTGGGGTTACATATGTATTATCCAAATTTCGATTGTATTAATGGATATATATATATATATTTGTTAAATTATTTTACCCAAACTCCTGATAAATCATTAGTTTAATTTTTTAGTGACATCTGAAATTCGATTAGTAAAGATAACAAAAAAAAATCCCAGGTGGGGAAAAGCTGACGCAAGCGTAGTTTATTGGAATAAACGAGAATCTGAAGATGAAATAAGAACCGTTGGATGAAAGAGCATAGGGCGGTGCACTGCACGCTCCGTGGTCCCCTCCACAGATGATATAAATCTCCCCTGTCCCACGTGCCCGACATGTGTCGGCACCTCAACTGGGAAATGCGAACTCTCTCCCCAATGGTTAAATCAAATCTCTCCTTCACACTCTCCAATTAACCTAATTTTTTTCTATTAAACCTCTTTATCCGACATTTTAAAATCTTAATCACAGTTCATTAATCATACAATAATAAAGTTTCACAAAAAAAAAAAAAATCAAAGGTTCTACTTGACATTATATAATTATAATGTGCTTAATGACTAAAGTTACATTATTAATGGACAGAGAAATGTATAAGTGGAATCTAATGAAATGCTAATTATATAATACATGTTCAAATGTATTGAGACTATTGACATATAATTCCCCCAAATCACGCGTTTACGGAAAGTTCAGCAGCTGATAATGATTTGTTTGATTCGCAATTTTTTTTTGGTGGATAAAAACTAAAAAGGTTGATTTATAGTTAGTCGTGCTTATGATAGCTTTGAGCTATGGTTTGTCACTTATGTCACTTATGTATATGATTTTCTTAAAGCTTAAAAATCATCATCAACCATGCTTGAGATTCACAAATATCACTCAAAATTAGATTTCTATAATTATGATTTTTCAGTTTCAAATAAATTTGTATTGTATATTTAAGTTGTTTGAAATAATTAACACTTAAGTTCATCTTTTTCAACAATCTGTTTTTTAGGGTTATAAAGAAAAATCTAAAAAATGTAACATCAATGAGTACTATATATTTATAGTTCATATTAGCTAATACTAGATGTGATTGGTTCGGTTTTAAAAAGTTTCTACAACCCCTTTAAATATTTTTACATTATTTGTTTATCAATCAGATTATAAATATTTAGTGGGTCCTATATAAAAACTATACTTTCTACAACCTTTTTTATGTTTTAATTTTTTTTTTTAAACAATTATTTTATGGCTTTAAAAGCTGTAAGATTTTTTCATAACCAAAAAAATCTACACCTACAACAAAAAGCGTTTACAACCTAAATCCTACAACAACTAATCTAAAACCACAGCCAAACCAACTCTTTAAGTGGTTTCCCCCATTATCTTTATCGCATAACTAGAACATTGTTTATATTATGTTTGAAGGAAACAAAATTTCTTAAAAACAAAGAAAACAACACTGTGATCTTATGAATATCGACAAGTTACATAGAATTTTTGTTTTTATAAACATATAATAATTTCTCCTATATAGATTTGTGTAAAAATGTAAAAAAGTTAAAACAAAACTATAGTTTCAAATAAAAACCTTTTTTTTACTAATCAAACATTTGTTTTATACCTAAACAAAATCAATGAAATTGTACATACCAGTATTCAAAGCCATACATTACTAATCTAACAGTTACTATCCTATCTCATGTTTGCCGATTCAAATTCCCCTATGATATAACTTGAGAGATTCACATTTCATTTGGAGAACAATTTTTTGTTCACAATGGAAACATTTCTATTACTAAATATTAACCTAATTAAAAGAGTTCTATAACCGTTCAATTTTCCACAACAAAAAATTGAATAAACATAATTCTAAGATCCAGAAATTAATTAAACTTTGTCTGAAAGTTGTGTGTACATTCACTATATATTTAAAGCTTTAAACTA